GGGGTTCCTCAGACAGCTCCGTCTCCGCCGCGCCGAGCAGGGCCTCCGTGAACTCCTTCGCCATTTCCTGCGTGGTGGTCGCCGGCGCGCCTGACCTCGCGAGCAAGTTGCAGAGACCCCGTTGGGACACCGCCCATCGCGCTGCCTCGACCTGCAGATCCTGTCGGTTGAACTGCCGCCGTTTGGGGTTTGTCCGGATAGGTCGGTTGTGGGCCAGCCGGCCACCGAGGTCGACGGTGGCTACTACGATGTTGTGGTCTGAGTCCGCTCTGACTGGGCGCACTGGCTGAGGTACGACCTCCATGTTGGACACTCGGCCGCGGTGTGCTTGGCGCGTCAGGATGTAATCGAGGCACCTACGTTCGCGTCCCGACGGGCCGTTGAACGTGTGCCAGATCCCGCTCCTCCGTGTGTCGAAGAAGGTGTTGAGGACCGCTAGTCTGTTGTCTGTGGCGAAGGTCAGCAGCAGCCGACCGTTGTCGTTCAGCTCATTGCGCCCGTACTCGCCCATGGTTCCTTCGTTTTCCCCGTCTATCCCTCCTCCGGTCTGAGCATTGGCATCCATGAGCACGAAAAGACACTCCTTAGCGGGGATACGCCGCACGAGACTGTCAAGTTTTTCCCAGAACATGCGTTTACTGTCGGCGGTGGCGACGTCTGTTGAGGCACACGCAGCAACGAAGTTCACCGCTCCGCGGTGGCCCGTCATCTCAAACCTCATAGCCATGAGGCGCTCGTCAACGTACTCAGTGGTGTACTGGGAGGCCTTGCACAGCGCCTCCTCCACAGCGATTCCGACGCCATGCGTACCACCCTTGTCCGTGCCACAGGTGAACACCCGAAAACCGGATGCTGTGAACTCCGTTCGCCCTGGTCTCCTGACCTCCTGCAGACCGACAAACGAAATGTCCTGTTTCGCTGCCTCGTGTAGGACGCTGTCGGCTCTCCCATAGCCGTTGGCCCCGTTCACGGCCAGTGTACGCACATTGTAGGTTGCTACCCTAACAAGTCGACCCTGCCGCCTCTCCCGGGTGGTGCGTGCTGCATCCCTAATCAGCCTACGCACCTTCCGGCCCCTCCTCCTCTTCTTCCTTCCTTTTTTTATGTGTTTTTTTCTTATTGCTCTGCGGATCCTCGGGTTAATGTAAGAGTTAACCCGGTGCTTGCCTTTCCCAGCGAGGTGTCTTCCTGTCCCGGAGCGGCGTGGCTCTCCCGCTCTGGACCCTTTCCGTCCCCCTGTTGGGTGCTTACCCATGCGGTGTGCGATCATCCCGCCATCCTCTCCGTGCTCTCCACTGCTGCCTTGCCCCGGCGTCCAAACCGGGGCATTTGGGTTCAAACCATACTATGCATAAAAAGACAGCGGTTTCGCCCGTGCATACTTTTTTTTTGGCGCATAATATTGCGCATATATGGGCATACTATGCATGAGCGTGGTTATGCTCGCTTCATATTGCACGTAGGGGTGGAAAAGCAGCGAGTCAGGCGCCTCCTGTGGCCCCAACAACTTGAGCAAAAAAATTAAAAACGCCTTCCTTCGCTGTGAGGAACTTTATCCTCAAACACCATCCATAGTGGAACTCAAGTCAAGACAGCGGACCTGCGTTTTTGTTTATTGTATTTTCTTAATGTTGTTGTTGTTGTCTTCACATTAAACCATATGTCAGTTGCTAAATGCCAAAATCTAGCAAAAGACTCTCAGCCCGTGGTCGCGAAAGTGCTAGAGCCATCTGAGGATCTAAAGAACACGCACACATATAACGAGAAAAAGGTATCCATGAGCCCGAAGAGGTACACCTAAAAATCCCTGCAGCACCGTATGCGTGCCCAAAAACTGAACTGCACGTCCGTCCCACCGTTCGACTACAGCAGCATCACCCCCTCCCTGTCCCACTCTATACCAAAACGGAAGATTGCCGACTACAGCATAATGCTGTCTGAAGTGCTGTCTGTACAAAATCACCATGGTAGGCATGGAACAAGCAGCTGGCGGGGCACAAAGCTGCTGTCTGAAATGCTGTCAGAATGTGTCTGCGGCCTTACAGTGAAAAAGAACAACCAACCAAAGCCATCATTGCAGCAATTGACAATCACCCGAATCTCTCCCGATCGTCTGTGTAGGCACTGCAGTGAAAAATATCGACACTATCTCAGAATCGTTCCACATTGAATGGGTCTTCCACGATCAGGCACAAAACCAATGCACCAGGGTTAGCCACGCCATCTCTGACGTTTCTCTCTACAAAACCGGTGACGATGTCATCACACAAAACCTGTTACCCGCAGGGGAGATGTCCCTATATGCTGCCTACAGGTAGTTTTCTCTGACGCTATGATTCCATTGTTAATCTGTCTATGACTCTATTCTATAATAGAGATGGACTCGTTGTGTCATATTAAGAAAAATAAAAAATAAACAACACGGAAAGTCAGAAAAAAAACGAAAAAAAGTTGACAACACAGATAGAAATGTATGTCCGTGCGCCACGGGTCGATGTCGTCCGCATGCTCCGGTGCCATTGCTCCATCCGGCGCCGCTGTAGTCAGCCCGAGCAAAACGCCACTCGACCTGCTCCGTCCGTACACGCTCTCGTTGCTGTCCTTCCCAGTCCGTTCCTCGCTTTCTCCCTCATTGCACTCAAGGTTCTTGGTCTGAAAAAAATAAAAATTCTCGCGCCGAATGGTCAACCAGCCTAGTTCAGCTCGTCGCCACCTGCTCCCTCCTCCTTTGATGGCGAAGCCAGGTTACTGAGGCAATACAGCTCCCTCTAGCAAACCTAGGGCCGTGTAGTGCCCGTCCACCTTTCTGATGGTGTCTGCCTCCGCGCAGAAAAATGAGATGGGCATCACTGCCTAAGCCGACGGCCAGAAAGGCCCGCGCATCTACATTTTCCCGCCTGACCCCATCAGTGCCGACCCAACTCCACCACCACACGCACGCCTCGCGGCATATGCGCAGCAGCAAGAAGGTTTCGGTCATCCCTTGAGGGTGAGTCTAGCCCTGCTCGCCAGAACGACCCTCCCCTTCGCTACAACCCTTGTCTAAGCAAAAGCTTGTCGAGGGGCGAGGGGAAGAAGGGAGAGGACTGTGGTTCTTTTTCATCACACAACAAATCCATCACTCTATCTATAGAAATAAGTCTAAGATAGATCAGTAATGCATCCATAGCGTGAGCGAAAGGCTACCTTGTTGTAGTTGTTGCTGTTGTTTCTCGCATTAGCTCTATAGTCCACAAAAAATGGGGCGCCCGTGGTCTCAAAACCCGGCACATACATACTATCTTTACCTCGCCCTGCTCCCCGGCCGGGGCCGAAATCGACCTGGTGAGTCCCTCGCGGGCGAACCAGGACACAACAGATAGTAGGCGGATGGTGTCCCAAAGTGCAACTCACCGCCGCGCTGGCTCAGCGTGGCGGTGAGGATGCACAGACGGTGGTAGTGGCGAGAGGTGTATGTGGACCTTGTCCCCGCGGCAGCAATGCAAAGCGGCAAACTGCACCTGGTAACCACCGTCGCGGAAAACGTGGCCCACGAAGCTGGAGGAGCAGAGAGATTCGTAAAAACCACGCGAGTAAGCACCGTTCGCGGGAGAAGGGAGA